GAACAGAGAGTTAGCGAGAGAACACACTCTTTGAACTAATAAATATATCTCTTCATTTAGATTGTGGCGTGGTGCTGTTTCCACCGCTGGTCGTGCTATGATTATAAATGTAGCTGAGATGCCAACATACTCACAGGCTAAAACCGTTCTTCCGGACAGCAACTTATTACAACAAGGTTTACCCTCGCATTTCACAGCATCAATGATTGCGGCACTAGTTACGACAGATGTTTCACTTTCTGTTGATATCGTTCAAACAAGGTAGGGGTGGCGGATGTGTTCAGTTTGAAGTTCTTCTTTATTGATACGTCAGTTGAGATAGACAGAGACGAAAAGGCTCGATTCCCTCAAAAGAAATGGAAATGTGAGAGTTTCTTTCAGCGAAATGCGTGAAAATTGTAGTGGAATTCGTCACATCCTGTTAGAGGTGCTGAGCCTGATAATAAAACAACTCGAAGTTGTTTGAAGTTTGGTCGAGCATAATTTCTTTGACTGAGAGGCTTTTGTAAAAATTTCTGCACAGGCTGAAACAGCCCGCTTCTTGTTCAGAGGTAGCCAGACTTACTAAATTAAGTTTCGGACAACTACCTGTGGTAAAAACCATAGATAGTATTAAAATCATTTACAACTGACCGTGGAAGCGAATTTGTTTGACAATGGACTAGAGTTAATCAAAAATAATGAATAAAAAAAATTATCCAGACGTTGTTGAACAGGCCATTCACGGTAATGCCTTTTTTCTTTGTCTTTCATTTATTTACTTCAAGTTTCGCTTCCCACTTAGGTTATTTTACATGACGGTAAATTGTTGAATAAAGCGCTGGAAGCTCAACTAATTACTGATCAACTACGACAAGTGAAAGACAAAACATCAGATGAGACTGATGCATGTTGGGCTCATCTCTAAGTCAATAGACAGTTTTCTATATGATACGGATGATGAATACATCAATGAGAAATAAGATTAGAGTAAAGTGGATACATCAGGTGCATTCGGTTGGATGTTAAACCAACATTTGTATACTTATGTTCACGAAGAATTTACTGTCTATCATGGTTGTACACTGACAGATGAAATGATTGAAGATTATAAGAATGCAGTTGGTAAAGAGATTCGCTGGTTGTCATATACATCGACATCGAAATGTCGGGAAGTAGCTGATATATATAGTGGAAATGCACTATTCATTATTCTTTTTGAAGATGATGGTAACGAATCACTTTAGCAAAGAGATATTTCGTGTGTATCCCATTATCCACATAAAGAAGAAGTACTAATTTCTCCCGAGTATACATTTACAGTTACTGAAGTTAAATACGATGAAACGAACAAAAAATATTTGATTTATCTTTGGTGTTTTAACGAGGATTAGTGAACAACGTATGAATGTATAGAAATTACGAAAACAGAGCAGTTTCATTGCAAATTCGTCATCATTTTCTTTATGTCACATACTAAACAACTGTATGCCTTGAAATTAACTGTGATTTTCTTTTATCTTATGAGTGATTTTTAGAGACTTGTGTGATGATGGTGATTGAAATATGCACACCAGCCGAGTAGTATTTTTTCTCTTGCGAAACTTTAGAACAAAAAACCGTTTGCGAGCGAAGGACAGCTATTTTCACTTCGTTTTTATAGACAAACAATATTGACTTTTCGGTTCCTTTTTTGTCACATCCATTATTTTCCTCTCGCCCTGATTTAGATTAAAAGTGCGTTAAATTAAATGGGGGTCTGGTTTATTATTCTCTGCAGCGATAATCTGTTAATCAGACGAACATCAACAATATTATTTTTCTTTCTATCTAAATAATCTCTGTTTATAAGCAGCGGAAAGGTGGCCGATCGACGTCAACTTTTTTGAAGATAATGACAAAGAAAATTAACTGTTCTTTCAATGACTTATTTTTTCCATAGTTACAATTTTTCCCCATAAAAATGGGCTGTTGCATGATCATCTCATTTTGATGTGGGCAAAACTTTTGTTTCCTATCAAATATAGTTGATGAGGACTCAGCAGTATACTTTTTAAGTGGAGGCATGCGTAACATATAAAAAATTTATCATTATCGTTCGATATTGGTTTGCCAAACATTATAACTATTATCAGATGAATGTTTTTTGTTGCCAGCCAAAATAATGTGCAAGTGCTCTCATAGAAGAAGATTTTTTGAAAACTTGATTGTTAAGATTAAATTAAGCTGGAGCAGACAAAAGACATTGTGTGCGAAACTTTTCTTAAAATTAATTTACCTGTTGAAACGAAACGAATACAATTGACTTCAAGATATTTTTTCGAAAACAGTAAGGTTCTGATTCACAATCACTAACTTACTCTTTGATTACAGAAAAACGATCTTCTCTCGCATTCATCAGGTGACCTGAATCGAGACAAATAGCTGTTGAAGACTATATACTGCAAGTCAAACTGTAGTTTCAAATTTTGCTCTATAATGGTGAAGTTTGAGATGTGGTTTATAGACTGTTTCATATGACAACCTTTTTGAGAGCGAACTATAACTGTTGTTAAAAATCTCAGCCATCTATTGAAGATGTCAATGCAGTTTTCTCTAGTAAACTGAAAAATGAGAAAATGTAATTACGTTTATTTATTTTTTCAGCCAGTTATTTCAAATGGTGTGTTGTGAATATACTGATGGATGTATAATTGATTCGAGTGTTGTACATGGATACTTGGTCAATAGTCAGAAATTATCTAAAGTATGAAGAAAAAGACAAGTGTTATAAAAACCATGTGATCATAAAACTTAAGGTCTATAATATCGAAACTCCTTACAAAGTTGGTAGATCATTTACATGAAACAGAATAAACCGTTCAAAATTTCTAACAGACTCACACTTTTTTGGTCTACATACAAATCATCACGGTCTTGAAAACGTGTACTCTATTGTGTTCCTCGTGTGCGATGACTTCTGGATGGTTGTGGAGGTAGTGAAAAGCTAAAAGCGATTTGTACTCTTATCGCTTTCTTGAAAGTCTTACAGTCATTTTTGTAAAAGTATGCCAAGAGCACGTTTTTAGCAAATTAAAAAAAAATTCGCTTATCACGAACCGCATGAGTAGAAAACGAATTTTTTTCTGTATCAAGTCAAGTATATCACCAAAATGTTTCGGCTTTCTAGCGCTTTGCCTTATTCCGAGTTCTACAGTTTTCTAATTCCTTTTTCTTGCATGTCACAAGACATCTCCGACTTTTCTCGCAGAAAAACTGCTACTAGAATTAGAAATAGTAAGCAGTATACGAATTTTTTCTTCGGTCCATATGTATGCGGCATTCTTTTTTCATGCAAGCGTGAAAGCAATGAATAATGTTGAATTTTATCTCCATTGCTTCTAACATAGCTGAGTCGCCAAGGTATTTATTTAGTTACGAATTTGCGAATCATATAAAATGAGTGAGGACTCGCTACAGTGCAGTTAGCTCGTTTTTTCAATTTCCCCTACAGTCAAGACCTTCTAACTGTCTGTCACTCAGACAAATTTTGTTCACACATATAAAACCTTTTTTGTTTCTCCATACATTTGACTAGTGCTGATGACGTAGGAGCAACGTAAATAGTTCTTTTTTATAACACGTTTCTTCTTTGTACGTGTAACTATTAGTATAGAATATCAGATTACAATATAGTAAGATAGCTGAAAGAATCACGTTCACCTATTTGGGTTTATTGCGTCGAAAAAGTTTGATAATAAACTTCGTCTGTTGTCATTTGTAGCCATATATGTGGATGACGACGATGACGATGTCGCACTTGAATCTATTGGTTCTGTTGTGCTATTATCAGAATCTATTGCTTTTTTTATTTCGTTCTGAAGAATTGCATACGAATGTTATTTAAAATCTGGTAATGTTTGAAAATTTTTTAACAGTGGGTGTAATATAACACCTAAATAATGTTCGTCAGTAATAACCCAATTATTTAATAATTCTTTACCAATGCATCGCTTCAAAGTTTTTGTGACTTTCGCATCATCCGTTATTGTCAATGATGAATGAACTAACATTTGACGTAATGGAATGACTTCATCGATAGTTGGATTTTGATCTGCACTTAAAGCTTCTATTACATCATTAAAAGTTCTTAAATAAGAGCATATAAAGTATAATAATAATTTATCTATATCTGTCAATTTATTTTTCATTTCATCTTGTAATGTATCAGTTAATTCATCATAAACAGTTAAAATTGATTTCATCATAACATAGACACCATTGAATCTTGTATCAGAATATGATTGTAATTTATGTCGTAATTGTGTTTGTTTATGTGAACGTTTAACATGATTTACAATTACTTTAACAGACAAAAATAAAATTTTGAACGTCACTACAATTGATATCATCTTTCGCAAATGCATGTTCTAAAATTTTATTAGAATATCGTGCAGCACAACCAATTCTATTTTCACGAAATGTTGCTTTCATTAAATTCTCATTATCAATATAAACATATAAACATTTTTATCCAGTGAAAGATTAAATTCAGCTAAAATACGGTCAATAAACATTCGAAAGTTCTTTGCTTGTTTATTTTCACGATCATAGGCACGACAAGCCAAGTTAAATGTTTTTAAGTGACATACTGAATCAATGTAATGAAGTATAACATCACCGTAACTAACACCTAAGTATCAAGAAAGTGTTTTTCAATGCATGAAAATATTTTGTAAATTTCTTATAAATAGGATATAGAATAGGTCAAATATTTTTATTTCAAAGCATTTGTACTACTGCTTGATGTGTGTTTTAAAATTCATGTATTTTTCACACAGAATGAAATTTTGTAATGCATTGTTAACACTAATTTGTGAAAAATTAGACCAATATGGACTTGTAAAAACTGTTGGCTTTAACAATGTAATTAAAAGTTCATTAGCATCAGTTAATATCTTTATTTCTTGTTTTGTATAATATTTCTTTATATCGGTTGGTTCAGAAGCAGACATTTTATTAAAGTTTCATTAGACAAAAGAAAGCTAATGGTAAAAAAAAAATTTATAATGATGGTAATGATATGGTAAATGGTAACGAAAAAGCCATGGTAAAAGGACTCTACTTGACTGAACGTTTGACTTTGAGCGGTGCAGTTGTAGTGGGAGAAGTGGCAGAAGAAGATGATGAAGTAGGAGAGTTCACTGAAGCCATAACAAAAAGTCTTTTTTTTAAATGTACATTTTTAAAGCAGCGTTTGTTCAATGAATGAATAATAAAGAGAACGCTGGACCGTACAAAACAGCGTGTTTTATTTTCTATCGTCATTGTTATAGAGAAGGGTCGTCTGTGCATTGTGTGATCGATTTTTAGTTCTACTGTCTTCTTTTCTTAGATGATCCATATCTGCTTCTTCTTCGTCTTTGCTATTACCGTTTTCTGCTAAAATCATGACTCATTCATTCATACATTGACTGAAATGTATCGACGCACTTTCAAAGTATGAAATAAAACTCTCAGTTTCATTCTTTAATGAATGTGAAAGTAGTGAAAGAGAAGAGAATAACGTTAGTCATTTTGTCTTGTTCTATAGTCAGACGTTGGCAATATATAGGAAGAAAAGAAAAGACGTCTACATCTTACGAAATGTGTGAATGATAGTGGTTTCTTACGAACACCATCTCATCTCTAGTGCAATCCCAGATTTCCACAAAAAATAGGACAAAATATTTGTCTGTTAAGTTGCTTTTGATGAAAAAGTGAAAGTGAACTTTAAGGATCTGTGACGACGGCTATGTTCCAAACTTAACCGTAGTTTGAATACCTCTATATCATACATTATAAATAGAGTCGATTTCCGCCACAAGTCGTTAAATTACGGTTTTTAGGAATTCTCCCCCCTTTTTAATTCGATATGTTGTACAGTTCGATGGGCCACATCAGACTAACCCCCCTTTATGGGATCACAAACGCAAAAAAAATGTGATCAAAATTGGGTTACAAAACTTTTTTCCCACATACCTTGCTGGGAAATGAAAAAGTATTTTGAAAAAATCTTTCCAGGAATGCTGGAAATACGGTGCGTGGCCGGTTGCTTTCAATGATAGTGGTTTCAAAACATATATACGTACGACACATATTCTGAATCACCGTCGAATTCTGAACAAAACTGCCGATTCAGTTTCTCGAAAGTTTTGGGCCCTGAGCTGGACCTCAGAAACACGGGGAAAAAGGTTTTCTCAAAATGTAATTAACGATACACCATTCAACGCAGAATTGTGTGCTGAGTCTGAATCACAGGTCAAAAACCAGAAAAAAAACAAGTCTTAACTGAAAAAATGACATTTGCTTGCAAATGGTCAAAATTGGTCACCACGCTTTTTGGCCTCTCCTGGCCTCCGCCAATCGACTTAGATCCTTCAAAGTTAGTGTTCTGAAACCACCACAACGCCAGTTTTCAGATGGTATGTCGAGAAGTCGGAAAAAATGGTGTTTTCACGGAAAAATAGGTCAAAACTGTGCAAAAAAACTACGAAACAACGCGGTTTTTGAAAACTCTTTTGGATATAGCGTCTCGGAGAGGCCGAGGTGCAATTCAAGACACATGCAGTCCTACTCAGTTTTGAATGAGGAATCCAAAGATAACCAGAAAAATGCTTTTAGAGGATGCAGTTTTTTGGAAAACGCTTTCCTAGCTGGCTTCTGTCCTCGAAAAATCCTGAAAACATTTTCTAAATAAGTCGTGGTTGTACCACGCGAAATTCTGACCAAAATGAGACATTTCCCAGCTCTACACGACCTTTCTTTGCAAAGTTATGCAGTTTACAACAAAAGCTCTAAAGTCCTTTTTCCTTTTTCTTTCTGTAGCGCTGAGGTGACAATGAACATTTAATCGATAGTCAACATTTCGAGAAACTGAATCGGCAGTTTTGTTCAGAATTCGACGCTGATTCAGAATATGTGTCTTTTGGTCCGATTAGTTAAAGGAATATTTTGTCCCTTATCCGCTGCCGTCCTTTAAATTTTTTTAAAATTTAAAATTTAAAAAAGTTTAAATTTAATTTTTTTAAAAATTTATTCATTAACGGTGAAAAATTGCAAGACTTGCTTTAGCGAGTGCTTCTACTTGATGTATAATCTATGACTTATTTTGAACATTTCCTGAAGTCGATGAAAAATGAGTTAGTTATGGGCTTTTTCATTTTACGTGTACATAGGCCCTATATGAAATTCAAATTCTAAAACTTTTTTAGTGGTAGAAAACCTACTCAAAACGTCAAAACGTTTTCAAGAAGTACACTACCTGCAGGTGGTATTTTTTCATTTACTTTTTTATATTCGGATAGCCCCAGAATTTTTCTTTTCAAAATTGTAAAGAGCACAGTTCTGGCACCTTCCTAGCAAAAGTTATTAAAAAACCAATGAAATACATTATATTCCGAAATAGATAGCAATACTTGAAGTTCTTACGCTATGCTCACATAACTTCAGCGAAGTGGGAATTACTTGGTAGTGAAAATTGATAGAAACGTCGGATTTTTGATGTTATCTATTCTATATATTTAATCAACTTTTGGCATACAAAGAATGCAAACTGAATAACTTACCATAGCTATTCAAGACCATGTGGTTACGGGACAGAAAAAAAGATTTTTTCGGGACCACGAATTCTGAACAAATTTGTGAAAAAACGATAAAATCTGTAACAAAGATAATGATGCAACTAAGTAGAGTGAAGAAACTTTTATAAGAAAGAGAGAAAAAAATATATTGCTCCACATAAAAGAGCAGAGAAAATAGCATTTACAAACCCAGACATATCTGAACCACTAGAAAGACAACATGAAAATAATGTTAAATATGGATGTTTTGCTTATAATTCGTTCAAGCTTAAACATAGAAAAGTCGTACTTCCAGTGATTATAAGAATAAGGTTGAAGAATATATGCGAGAAGTCGTAAAGCGCTTTATCAAGACTAAGAAAAGAGACACTTAGGACCATTTATGTCATTCGAACGGTACTATTTTTATCAGGATCACTCATATACATATAGTCTGGTTAATTATGTTTTATGCTATACAGTTCTTGATTGAGGAAAGAGTTGTTTGTTGTTTCCATTTCGTATAACATTCATTCAAGCTTCTCCTCTCAGTAAACCTAAGGTTGGACGGGAACAGATTGTGGTTAAACTTTTGAAACATGTATTCAGGATGACTAGAAAAATAAAAGATCGCATCGAAACGAATTGTTTTGTATCAAGGCGGCAAGCTGGACGCTTACCCTTCGTGTAAGTTGAACCGCCGCCGATACGATGAGCTAGATGGATCCATTTTTTTGTGATAAGTGAATTTGCAACCAAGAGTCGATTGATAGCGAGGTGTATTGCTTCCACAACAATCAAAAGAAGAACAACTATGTCCATATCCATCATATTTCTAATAATAAAAACTCTTATAAAACCAAAAAAGATCCATTGTGATTAACTATAACTTACTCCTGGATGATAAAGACACAGTTCCAAATTTTGTTGAAGTTCATTAAAATATAGTCCACATCTCTGACATTGTACCATGAATGGTAGTGATGGATCAATAGCTACAAAGCTTTTCGCCCATCTTTCATAGACGAAGATTCTTTCAAGGCTTTGTTTGTGATCATCGTTATTGAACATGCCAAAAACCTTCGACATGTTAAGTTTGTGACATTCATAAAACTCAATGTTCTTCAATTTGCGACATGATCTGGCAATGTGTTCTATCCCTTCGTCTGTTATCAGATCACCTTCGAAACTGATTTCTTCGATTGATGGGAATAATCTGGCAACAAGATGCAACGATTCATTTGTATGAATAAAGTTTTTAAACAAAACCTGTAACAAGAAAAATAGCAGCTTTTATGAAGCATTAACACTCAACTTTGACTGGTGGATGACTCATGGTGAATTATATTCTTAGAGACGGTAAAAGTAATTGATTATCACCAATATTAACCAACAACTGCCGCTCATTATTCTGAGATGTTTAGTCTACTTCCCGTGTTTGTAGCTGTTTTACTGAGGCTCTTGCCACAATATCGCTGGTGAGTACAGAAATTTTTTCACAGTGTAGGTGCACCTTAGAAGAAACAATCTTAAAGTCTTAAGCATATTTTGCTTAAAAAGTCGTGGTATGAAATCAAAGTTCACACTGTAAGCGGTTGCTTACACTGATTACAGTGGGATTCACCGCTGCCAAGTGTCCTTTTTTTGTCAAATTTAGCCAAGAATTATCAGGCTTTTACTTTCTTCCCAGGATTTTTGACAAAATCTCAGTGTTTTTCCAGTTTTTCTTACGAGGGAACATCCCGAAGTGTCCCATGGAATTTTTGAGAAATACCTGGGGTCTGGTAGAGCTAAGTGCGCCGATCACGAATATGATATGTTTAGTTGTCACCGTTAGCTCGCTACTGAGCTAGAGTAGTTTTATTTTACCTTGGTCAAAAAATGATCTATTTTCGATCGACACAGTTTTTTGCAAATACGTTATTCACATTCGTTTAATATGCTGTTTTGTTAAGGAACTCGTCAACTACAATTTGGTATATGGGACATAATGATTAGAGCGTTGAAATTATACTTATCAAGCGTTTTCCATAGTGCTCCATCCTTTGTATCAGTAGGATTATTAAGAAACAGATAAAGTTGAAAGCTAACTGATACTTTTATACTGATAATAAACGTTAAAGTCAAATGTAATATATCATAAGAAAGTGTTTTGAATTCACTACAAATTGACACATTTAAAAATACAAAATTATTTTTTTGTACAGAAATATAGGAGCAAAAAATTACGATGCATAGCAAAAGATACGTGTACAGCTTTCATACGTATACTTTCAACTTTATCGGTTTCTTAATAATCCTACTGATACAAAGGATGGAGCACTATGGAAAACGCTTGATAAGTATAATTTCAACGCTCTAATTATTATGTCCCATATACCAAATTGTAGTTGACGAGTTCCTTAACAAAACAGCATATTAAACGAATGTGAATAACGTATTTGCAAAAAACTGTGATCGATCGAAAATAGATCATTTTTTGACCAAAGTAAAATAAAACTACTCTAGCTCAGCAGCGAGCTAACGGTGACAACTAAGAATATCATACTCGTGATCGACGCACTTAGCTCTACCAGATCCCATATATTTCTCAAAAATCCAAGGAGGACACTTCTGGATGTTCTCTCGTTAAGCTTTTATCAAATTTATCAATTTTAAAACTTTAACAAAATCTGCGAAAACGACAAAAACATAAGAAAAATCTAAAGTCTTGTGGATTTTCTCGAAACACTATGGAATTATATGCTGCTGTTGATGGTAATCAATTAGTTTTACCTCCGTTTAGACTAAAACTCACTAACAGTGACCTCTTCGTCTACCTTTTGGGTTTGTTGAAAGCGTCCAATGCTTTCGTCAGACGACGACATCTGCGAAAGGACTGTTTCTAAAGCATTTGGGTCTTCTGGGGGCAATACCATCGACCATAAACCAGCTTCTATGACTTCGGTCGGATGATATCTGAGATAGTCACCACTTTCCATTCTTCCAACGTAAGGCAATTCGACAACTGTCCACAATCTTAAATCGCTATAGACGCGATGTCGCCAAAATCGACATGTCTGTGCCAGCTGAACTAAACCCTTAACATCCAAAAACGTTAAAACATTAGGAATCACATCCAAAAACGCTCCCGAATCCATACAACCAAATAGTTGCGAATCTAAGAAATACAACAATAAGTCACAAAAGTTTGCTTGGCTCACTAAGATTCGCTGTCGTATCATATTCAGAATTTTTTCATCATCGATTCAATATTTTGCAGCTGTAAGGGTCGTTTCCCTCTAGTGAACGTATACACTGTCAAGCGGGATTTGAAAGATCTTTTCGAATTTCGATGGGGAAAACAGAGGGATGCTCAAGCAGATGGATTTCAAATCCGAAGGTGTTCAAAGAGACTGTGGAGTTCTGTTGATTAAGATTCATCGTTAACCATCACTAGGCTCGATTATCTATAACCTAGTGGAAAAAAGAGATGAGAAATCTAGTTCTTTGGAGAAGAGATGATGGCTGTAGGCAGGTAACGATCAATTGTCAGTTTGCCAAGAATATGAAAGAAGAATGTAAGTTACGCCAACAGTTCAACATTGCAATACTTCGAACCTGTAAATACATTCAGTATTCATCTCTTTCTCTCTCCACTTCTCTACTTCTTGTGAATAGTCAAAACGGATGAAATTTTGATCACAATTCTATGGACGTTCTTTTGAGATTGTTCTCTATTTTTGTAGAAGACGTGACTGTAATGCTGCTCGAAGCTGATCGGGGCTGCAAGTCATCTAGCTCCAGCGTGTCTTTCAGTGGATTAAGTTACGCTAGGACTAAAAGCTAGGCCTTTTGAAAAGTTAGACCTTGAAAAATACGCCGTGTGAAACGAGTGGTTGAACTCTCTTGAAGTGGCAGACAAAAGAGAAACAGGAACTACTATATGAGCGGAGCGCCCGTTCAAACTGCTCGTTGGAACGGGTGGTTGAGCTCCCTCTGACCTCGACGGAAAAATGTAATAGGCAACTAGTAGGTGAACGGGCGTTAATAGACCATGTGGAACGGGTTGTTGAACTCACTACAGTTCTTTGAATGGGAACTGTAGGAGTTCTTCAAATTGATTTCGAACTAGTTCCTCCAGTTCTTGATCCCCGTTCGAACGCATTAACCCGTTCCAGATGGCCACGGAAATAGTTCGAAATCAGTTTGAACGCCTGTTCAGTAGGTTTTTGGAACGCCGTTCTATCACCTGTTCGTTTGCTGTTGGGAGCAGCTATGTACTTTCTTTAGAGCTAGAAAGAGATCTTTAAACGACTAACCGCTGGCATTTTTCGTGCAGAGGACTGAATTCGACAACTTTTTTCCATTAGGCTCATATACCTTCAGAGACAGGTTTTTGTTCAGTTGTTGCTTCATTTAGATTTGTTGTATCACAACCAGAACCATTTTCTATTGGTAATTTTATCCACATCATAATCAGACGATGGTGCTGTTTAAGGATCTAATTCACAATTAAATGTCTTCCATGTCACATATAAAAAAGAAACGAGAGCAGAGATATTTTAACCAAAAAAATGATACCATGTTCTGTACGGAGACAAAAAGAGCGTCTAAACAAGTGCCCATTAGAAAACGTCTATGAAAAAGCATAGCAGAAAAAGGGCTGACAACAAGAGTCTACAAAAATTCATCCAAATAAGTGATAAGCATAGTATTTAAGTGCATACTACAAAGATGAATCGTGTCACTGCACTAGCTTATAGAGGTGACACTTTACCTTTACTTTACTTGTAACTAGTAATGAACATAGTTACTCGTTACTAGTAACTAAGTAACTACATTAGTTACTCGTTACTGGTAACGAGTAACTAATATAGTTACTATTTACTAAGTAACTAATTTCGTTACTTTACCTTGTCGGATCATCCGACTTTTTACGAAAAAGTCTGACCTGATGGACCAATCCACTATCGCAAGAAATCAGTCATTTCTGAGATAAGCTAGTAGGGGCGGCACTTTACTAGTTACTCGGCGTTACTTTACCTGATAAAGTAACGATTTTTCGTCACTTTCTGCAGGAGTAACGAAAGTAACGAAGTAACGAAATTAGGTACTCGTTACTAGTAACTAAGTAACTAACTTCGTAACTTTACCTGGTAAACTAACACCGAGTAACTAGTAAAGTGCCGCTCCTACTAGCTTATCTTAGAAACGACTGATTTCTTGCAATAGTGGATTGGTCCATCAGGTCAGACGCGCTTCGAAGTATAGTGCGGTCAAAACTGAGTCAAATATTATTTAAATCAATTCAAATTTTGTTTTCTCATATGACTAAAAGCATACGAAAAAATTCGCTCACAAAAAAGCGTCTGGCAGAAAATGTCCAATAAAATACCATGCCAAGATGTGCCGAAAAAACCGTCTACTAAAAAGCGTCAACTTTTGGACGCTTTTTTTTGTCTTGTGACAATAAGAAATGTTCGAACCTTATTCCCCTATTATATCCTTACATATTTTTATAGAGAAAAGTTACACAATGACATGGAAAGTGTGTTGCAATAATATTCTGAATTAGTCATTTTCTTATACAAGTAAAAGAGTTTTTTTCCTGTTCTTTTTGCAACTATAACTGCTCACGTGGCAACCTTTTTCTCCTTTTCTGTTATATGAAGATAAATGTTTATCTGTGTGTGTTTCTATGTGTACATCAAAGCTGATCACCTGCATAATTTTGGACTCCGGCCTGCGCGGTCACCGTGCAGGGACAAAATAAAATGTATCCGCGCTGCAGTTGCAGGTTAGAAAAAAACCTTTTGTCCTGCACAGACAGGGAGTGCGGGTAAAAACTCCTGCACTGCCACGCCCTGCAGGTGAATCCTACAACGACGTATAACAATTTTTTTTCCTGCTTACCACTATCAGTCTGTATTACACACTGATAGTTATAGATTTTATCACCAGTTACAATTCACTATTCTTGTTCTATCTTTTCTCATTCTGTTATTATTATAGTCATTTGTCATCTTCTTTGACTATAGGTAGTGCGCATAGTAAAAGAAACAAATCAAATACAACAAGAGCGAAATTCACTGTTTTTCTTTATTCTCTATTTCTCGTTTCTCTATTTCGTTTTAAAATGTCTAGTGGACCTAGTGCAAAAAAGACTGTTATCTAATTTCTTTTCCTTAAGGGATCATTCAGATCTTCAGTTTAAACAACATTTCTCAAGGTCTCCTCTCTCTTTTTGTTCTCCACACAAAACGTCTTTCCCTTCAAGCAATGCAGGTAAAATCTTCTCCCGTGCAGAGAGTGCAGACAGGAAAATATTCATCCTTAGCTGCCAGTGGGCATTTAGGCGGACATTTGCCAAAGAGCCGACAATACGCATTTTCAAAATTTAAATAGTGTCAGAGACCCTTCGATAGATAGGCTATCTAATGGCCCAAAAATGTTTGTTTCAAGGGGCAAATTTTCAGGAAAATTGCATACGTAAAATCGACCTACACAGAAGTGGCTTCCATGGGAAAAACATTTTTTAGAACACTAAGCGAATGCAGACTTTTTAAAACGTATATATTCGGACCCTAGACTCTTTCAAATATCTAGCAGTAAAAAAATATCTCAATTCAGAGCAACTATACCAGTTTATGTATAATTTATTAGTTTTACAAATAAAACTGTTTTTGACGAAAATACAGGGCAAAGATTCCCCAAAGGCATTTTTTATCGAATAAAGACTTTTTAAGCGAAAATAATCATTTTTAACTCAACAACTCAGATGTCCGCCTGCTCTATGGAAAAATGTCCACTGTGCGTCAGTGGAAAATTTTTTCATTCACCTGCAAACTGCAACCTGCCTACACTGCCTGCAGCTTTCAGTCTGTTTAAAATGCAGCTGATTAGCTCTGATGTACAGTCATCGTCCCTTTAAATAAAGAGCCACTATCTGGAAACATCTACCACACTAAATCGTTTCAGAATGTGTATTTTTCAAAATAAATAGCTCGAAGACGTAGTGGAAATCTGGATATGTCAGAAATAGGGTTTTATACTGTTTTCCATTAACAATAAAGACTTAAGTCACTCAAAACTGGATCAAAATGATCTAAGAGTCGCATAATACACTATTTTAGATGTTGAACCTTAAAACGGGGTCAAATAACAAAACTAACCTTTTTTCACTGAAAGTTTTGGAAAATCCACACGATTTTCTTGAAATCAACAGATTGTATAGCATCATATCAAATACAGCGTACTATGCAATTATTGATCATTTTGAGTGAGTTATAAACGTTTTTTTTATTACGTGAAATACCCTCGAACATCGAATAATAGACAGAAAAAAATTTACATGATGTACTGAAGGATTTCTAGGTGCTACATAAATAGCCTAATATGCAATAAGGTTATAGATAACATTTCAAATACTTTTTTGGGTAGTCTCTTCTTAGTGAGATGATATAATTTATTACCAATCCTGTCAGTAGTTTCTGCCGCAGTAATATTCGCGGATAAACTTTCAATATCAACGTTAATCATATTATGTCTGTGCTCAGTGATCTAACTTTCTTTTTTTATCTCTCCTTGAGTTTATAAATGCATTTTCTAAAATAAAAGTCGGACCACAGTCCACACGTTTAAACTCTGTGCTGTCATTGGTAACTCTATTGACATAGTCCGAGTATCACGACGCCACGCCCTTTGTCGGGTCTGGTGATATATGCAAATTTTCTCCAAAATTCTATGGCTCATTTGAAGTCATGAAGCAAGAAGGACGACTGAATTATGTAGTGAAACATGTCAATGATGGACATTCAGAAAAAGCACATGTTTCACGAATCAGTCCAATTTAAATCCACAAGCATCCTAACCAGCATCCCAACATCGAATATCATCACTCAAGTTGACATTTGGTTCGATAGTTATAATTGGGGATGAAACAACACTTTTATGACGGAAATTAGCCACCAACGGGCGTCTCAACATCCAACCACCAAGAGGCTTACAGCATCAAACTCAAGATGCCTGATTAAAAAAAGAAAAAGAGAAAAAAACAGTAGATGAGTGGGACGCTCATCTTGTAGGAATGGGCGTGTTAGGAAGCGTAGAAAATCTCATTCTCTGACGTAATGTTCTCGTTCTCTGTAGAGAGAAAATACTGTATTAAACGCTGTATGACATACTCAATTTTAGGACTTCTAGGAAAATGCCTGTAACTTTTCGATGCAAGGTCATAAAGAGTGGTACGAGGTCTGATTCTGATGAGAAACGTTTGCTCTACAAATCTGACAATTATAAGAGGGATAGGATATGATTTCCACTACACTCACATTGCTTAAGTCAAATTCATAGCCTTCCCTTAGTTGATAAAAATGACGGATACGCTTGATTCATATTCAAGAAGTCATTTCTACGTCGTTTCAAATTTCGTATCGTTGTTCTTATCGAGCCATACTATTTTCAAAAGATACCTTCTACATATTTCTCTGCGTCATTCTAGACGACTAGTGAGCTGTTCGAACATATCAGCTCCTTTCAATCTTTTGAAAGGAGCTGATATGTTCGAGCAGCTCACTAGTCGTCTAGAATGACGCAAATGTATGACCGTTCTTCTCCAGTGCTTCGAGTTGAGCAAGCTCTTGCTTCAGCGTGAAAGCTTTAGCAGTAGTCGTTGAAAAATTTCAAAAGATTACAATTTTTAAAATTTTGTTCAGGTATCGTGACATTATCCGCCGTCAATGACTACTACCTTCAACTTCGTCGATTCCTCGATCAGGCCAAATCAACAGCAAGATACAGTGTCACACAACAACAAGACATCGTCTGCTGCCAAATTCCTCGTTGAGAAAGTCATCCTACAATTCGGTGTACCCCAACAATTGATAACGGACAACGGAAGTCATTTCATGGCTAAATTATT